ATTAAATTTAAGTAGACGCATGGGTTCATCAAGCTGAGTGCCGAGTAATTCAAGTGGATAGAAAGCGCCGGATTTTTATGCGGTAAATTAAAGAGCGGAACTGTCAAACTTCAGCTTCCTTTTCGCCATTTTCTTCCTCGATATATCTTTCCGCAGAAGGTGTTTATCTATTCTCCAAACTACATTCGCTAGGGAGATGTCAGCCTATCCTGTGGACTTACATTTATTACAAAGATTAACGTATACAAATATATGTATGGAAGTATGGAATATTTTGCATACGTGGACATTTTGTACACTTTGTGTCCCATACAAAGATCCTATTAGATATTCCTACTAAAAATCTCACTGTATTTAAAAGGATCGACGTCTAGAAGGTACCAAAACGTCGACCCCTGAGTTAACTCAACACGAGGGGCCAGGGTCGAGTTATCTATGAAGACCTGAGGTCTAGTTTTTTTTAGTCCAACTTAATGCAAAGGTGTCACAGGCGTTACAATTTATTTTGTGATGTTTCTAGTGCTGCTCATGATCCTATATTGCCATCACGTGGGCCGTAAAAAATATTATTGATTTACAAGATTTAGTTTGTCAAGATAGTGAAGAAAGATAACTGTATTTAGATAATTATATTTATTATTTTGATTTATTAGAAGTAAAGAGAATTAATGTCCAATGTCATGTCTATGGTTACTGAAAAAAATAAATTATCCATAGATTGATGAATCATAACCTAACTAGCTTTATTTTTGTAGTTATATAAATATATCAATGTTTTAATTATTTTTATGTAAGTGCATTATGAGACTTTGCCCTCGGCAGTTAGAATATGAACTAACCATTGTTAACCGCATCCGTTATCATTTAATGTAATTGAAATATTCTATATTTACGCAGAATGTGCACTAACTATTCCCACGTAATCGTCCGCGTGTTATAGTGGTATCTTGGCTAAATAAAGAAAAAATATTCAATAATCTAAGTCAAAATTTTCATCTCACCTTCCAAGCTCTTACGACTCTATTTTCGCATTACAAAGTAGCCTATCTCCTTTCTCAGGATCTAGACTATCTGTGTAACAAATTTCATAGTAATTTTGGCGTGAAAGCGAGAGAAACAGATTTAATTTCCCATTTATAATATTAGTAAAGATAACCATTCACTGATTAGTGAATGGTTATGGTGAGAGAATTGTAGTCTACTACTATTTCTTTTACATGTTTGGTACATTAGGTACATGAGTACGTACCCATATATATGGTATATGCAGGTTGGTACTCATGTACCTAACGGAAATGGAATTAAACCAAATAATGCTACTGCTAATCCATTAATAATAGTGATATGTACGTATAAATTCATTATTATATCATTATCGATGTCAAGTGGCACATAGTAAAACTTTAACTAATCAATTTACAGATAACTTAATTAATAACATGTTTATACGCTAGAGGGAAATTATTTTAGATTCCAGTACATACCGGTCTTTTATTATCGATATATCGATAAAAGAAAAATTGGTAACTCCGAATTTACAAGTGTTTTCAAATCAAATGTCGAGTTTTTTCGGCAAAGTCTGAACTGGTTAGACAAATGTTGGTTTAAAAATATTTGTAGAAGTTCTAGAAAGGGCTGGTAATGCATGTGTCGTTCATAGGTACGCCTGAAACACCAGGGTAAGGTAACCGATTTCCATCAGATGGGCCGAATGATTGTTTGTCACTTACGTAGTATAAAAAAGAAGCAATTTCAAGGAAATGAAACTTTCTAAAGGTGGGAGAATAAGAAGTAATTGTAAGAAAATAAATAAAAACATCAATTTAAATTTCTCTTGCAAACTGTTCGTAAACAAAATCAATTTCTTAACACTTATATGTTAACAAAGAATGTCAACTTTGATACATTATTTAATGCTCAGGCGGGGTGAAGGTACGGATCGGCTAGTTTTTATATAAAAAAAAAATAATACATTTGTATAAAAAATTTTGATTTTATGAGAAAACCAAAAATAAAAATATCAGAAAAAATGAAGTAAATCGCGGACAGGCGTTGTCACACGATTCGATAGACGAATCTTCAACTGAGAGCGTCGATCATTTCCATTGAATTACGCCGCGAGTAAAAGTTTGGGTCACAATTAGTATGTTATATCGAAATATAACGTAACATTGTAAGTAGGTTCCTATTTATAGGTTGTCTGTCCACTTGACACACATTGGCCTTTATCAGGCATATGGTCTTGAATATTGAAAATGATTTATCTATTTTATTGATATAATTTCTCAAAGCTCTATTATGTTATCGATGATTTGCAAGTTCACGACATTTATATCTGTGACATAACATAATATATTAATATCGGAGAGTATTTATTGCGCGCACTTACGTCCTGGTTGCAGTATTGTGTCAAGGTGACCACCACTGAGCCAATTATCACTACGTCATATTATCACACACAAATAATACTATCCACTAACATACATATCCTTCTTTATGTGTCGCATATAATATGTCTAATTTAAATGCTATAAATCACAATATTTGACACAGGATCAGTTAGGTCGATCTCATAGACAAATTGGTGCGTGACGAGACGCATGTTCATAGTAGTTGTCTAAGCCTAGACTTTGTATGGAGCCGTTTGCGTACTTTCGTCTCACGATCTTATTTTAGATGCCAAAGGCAGTGTAACCACATAATACGGATTGGACTGTAAAAAAGACATGTCCATGGGTAATTGCTTATACTCCAAGAAATTACAGGATACAGAGTTATGACATCATCCAATATCCACTCTAAGTAATTTTACTTTCAATTTGACCCTTCGACAGATTGACATCTTGCAATAAAAGCTGCCTGGTGGCTGCAAAAGATGAACCAGAGTAATCTAATATTAGATTACAATCAGTAAATATAGCCAATATATAATAGAGGTAAATTTTGTGACTTCTTGAGGTTGTAGGGGGTAATCTTTAGATTTACTGACCCGATTTTGTAAATTCTTCTACCAATAGAAAGCTACGTTAATTGTGAGTGTCATAGCACCAACAGGAGCGGAGCTGCAATGAAAAATGCAGTAACAAGGGAAATGTAACAGAGACGAAATTGTGCGGGTCAGCTGGTGTTTATTATATTATAGTAATCTATGAAAACAAAATGTACATTATTATGCATACTTATTAATATATCTCAATTATTTTTCAATATAATATGGTTTTTGCATCATTTACATTTTTACTATTGTCTCCTTAAAAGTGAAATCGAGTTCATTCTCTACTGTTGTAGAGAAACTACATATATCACATTGAAATAAATTTAACAACTAGTGTATTACAATACTGATCTATATAAACATTGTATTCGTAAGTATAGAACTCAAGTAGTAACAATATACAAGAAACGCTATCAAATAAATAAATCCACTCATATAGACATTTCCCATAATACATGACAAAATTTTTTCAGGTAAATTGATTATAATATAGTAAGAAATATTATTCATTAGTTACTTATATACTACAAAACAATTTTGGTTTTAGTTAGTTGATTTGAACTAACTAATATTAGGAACTAATAGTTCCTAATATTAGTGTCGGAATTGTAAAACCAAACACAGTCTACAACTTTATAATATCAATATAGATAATATATATATAATTTATGAATACTAATATGAACACATGTTAATAATTTATGAATAATAACATACAACTACTTATTTAACATCGACTTCACTTTTACAGTTAATCCTTGAAATTCAAGAATTTCTGTCACATTTGCTTAATTTACGCTGACGGTACAAAATCAGAAATATTGTTAATACTTTATAGAAATCAGTAAGAGGTGAATATAATTAATGTCCTCCGACATATAGAACGTGTGACCTTTACTCACAAAATCATATAATTTGGTCAGTGAATGTATAAGCAATGATATTTCATGTGACTGATTATATAGACGGCCTCGGTGATCTAGTAGTTTTGCACACCGCTTTACTTCCCATGGTAGCAGATTAGATTCCACGATGTAAACAATGATTATTTGTATTGGTCTGGTTGTTTTCTATATATATCATGTATGTATTTACGAAGTAAAAAATATATTTAAGAAGTTCTATCATTGTAAGTAGACAACTCTTAACTTAGGTCTAGATGCCGATTGTGGCGTGAACTGTCTAGGATTTTATTATTATATAAACACTAAAATGATGCAAACAAGCATCTGGCTCGCCTGATATTATGTGTAGCTTTTGGTGACGTAGTAGATAGTGAATTTACACAATAATTCACGAGTTAACTCTTTATCCTAGGGCGTAGATAGAAAGGTTGAATTGTGTAGTTTAAAAAGTGTCTTTATAAATAGACGGTGGAATGGAAAATCGTATTTTAATTATTGTATCAATAGCAATCAATAATTAATAACAATAAGTAATGTGTATTGTCAAATTTATTGTTACAGTGTAGTATATTTAAAGTACTGTATATCCAAAAAAAACATACTGTAAGTACTTTACGGTTTAAGAACTATAAATTAATTTAAATCAGCTGGTCAGATGTAGTAAATTATTCATGTATTCAGATGACACAATCTGGTTCCTATCTAAATTTAGCAAAACCTATTTATAAGAAACAATTATTTTATACGCGAAACTCGTTCGCACACCGAAAGCATCTATTATCACACAATTCGGATACTTATTGCAGATTTATTTCTGGCCTCGTTCAATATTTATTCTTGAAATAGGCAATGAACTAACCGGTACCAAGTTATATCGCTTTGATAAAATCTAACATGTAATCAAAATACAACTGATACAACTGATCTATACATGGCATATATATTATTATGAGAAAACTATTATTTAGGGATTTTATCGAAATGCTCGTAAAAAGGCCTAAAATAATTATTGACAGATTTTTTGTGTTTGTGAGTTTGGCCGCACTAAGTAGTCCTCAATATAAACAGACATTATGTATTAATTCATATTTTTGTTACAGGCAAACGAAAAGAAGTTATAAAAGGCGTAGACGGAAAATTTTCATCTGGACAGCTTGTAGCAATCATGGGTCCTTCCGGTGCCGGCAAGAGTTCGCTTCTCAATGTTATATCTGGATACAGGTCAGTATTCAACTCATATTGACTGAGTAACAAAAAATAAAGAGCGTACTTTCGTTGTATTCAAGCGGTAAACGGTAAACGGGGAGATCGAGTGGAAGATTATAGGTTATCCTATCATCTTCACTTGAGTACGTTAGTGTGACAACCACAAAAGTGATGCCATTCCTTTGTATGCTAAAGAAGAATTTCCACTTTTTATTTTGGTTTGTCAAATGAGGTAAATAATTAGCCATAGAGGCACACAATAATATTTTAGTCAAATTTGTCATTATACTATTCAATGATACTCAACGTTTTAAAATTAAAGAATACAAAATAAAATATCGGCTTTTATAATGCAAAGTTGTTCCCGGAAAAGTTATGAAATTATAATATTTCATCAGCACGTTAAACAATTTGTATTATAAAATAATATGATGGTATGGTTGTTATTCGGGTTGCAAATTGAAGCGTTTTGTGGCTTCAAGTTTGGTAAAAAGTTGGTAAAAATTAAAAAGAAATATTATTTATATTTCTTTTTAATTTTTTGCGGCCCTTGTACAACTATTCTTTTTTTAACTTTCTGTATATTGTTTGCTCACTTTGCTACTTGCTATATTGTATGGCGTTCTTAATAAAATAAACATCTTTGTAGCAAAGTTCAAATAAATAATTTAATCACTTCTCTATATAATTATACATACCTTTTGTATAACTTTGTATTAATGCGGCCCTTGAAGTTCAGATATGTACAGACAAGACATTGTGTCTTTGAAATTTCTGTCTGTCATTTTCATGCTTATTATTCATTCTATTAGCTTATTATACAAATCATTATCGTTTATTATTTGTTATTTGTAATTACTTCTATGTTTAATTTGCTTTCATAGCAATGACGGAGCATCGTAACGTATGCTGTCATTATTTAATAAATATTAATAGGAATTTTAAAATCTTTACAAGGTTGCAAACTTGCTTTAGTAAATATATAATAAAAGTAACTATTGCAAATATTGTACGTAGAGGTATAGGTAGATATTTAGGTAAGAAGGTAAGTGTTTTATTTAACATCGTTGTTCATCATACATTATTATTTTAACTTATCTTATGTCCACTATCTAACAAATAATTTTAACCTATCATATCCAACCAATATTTTCCATGAAATAGGACCCTAGCTGGATTTTTCAATATTGTCGTTTATCGTAGATATTTTAGAATTGAAATGACAAATGATGATTGACTGATTTATTAACCAGTTATAGGAATACTAAAACTAATTAATACTAATACTAAGGCTAATTTTTAAGTATTTAGAAATTTGCCTTAATATAAACGTTTATACAGATTTTGTAGGGTGTAGTTTCGTGGCTGTGCCTTATAACTCCTGAAAACTAAGGTACTTTCCATATCTTAATCAAATGACCGTAAATTCTTTTAACACATTTTAAAGTGCATTAAGACATATTAATAGATACAAATATACATAACAACATGTATTTTTGTTAGCAAAGAAACAGCCTTTACTTATGTTGAGTTTAAACGTAGTGGGAGTTTGTGGTAGGAATTATAAGTGACACGATTGTGGTGTGCTCTATGTGCTGCGAATGATTAATCACTGCTTACGAGATGTTGAAGTTAGCCATGTACCCTGGCATGTTTTGTCTGAATGCTGTCACAGATATTTTGCTAACTATTCATATACTATTCTTCACTGATTCATACTATTTTTGGATTTTGTGTTTACAATCTCGTCTTCCTCCTTTAGTCCTTAGGATTCGAAGGCTTACAGTTGGTAAAATTTCCAAACCTCCATATTCAAATGAGTCAGAATTTCAGGTAGTTTTTAAACAATAGTGTTTATCAATAGTATATACACTTACATTCGTGGTTTCGTTAGCTTTTTTAAATTAAAACATAGCCTATGCGCGTCATAATTATATAAACTACTGTCAGCCGTTTTGTCAGGGAAAGTTAAAAAAATGAACAAACAGACTTTCTTAGTTCTAATATTAGTGATTTTGTAGACACTAAGACATTATCTAAACATATCTTTACTTTTAATCAAGAAAATTAGCTTATGTAATTGTCGAGTAGGTACTCATCTCATAAAAACGAAATTCTGATTGATCTACCATTTTTTTCTCGAAAATAATTGAAAACGATTTTTAGTGACAGAAACCCACTAGGCTTTATTATTTGCAACGTATTTTTACTTTATGAGGTTGATTCATACGGTCTCATGTGAAAACCGTGATGAACAACTACTGCTGAATTCATCACGATAAGTTCTGTGTGTCTTTATAACTAACCTAACTGGCCCCTATCGAAGGCATTAAAAATTATTGTAATTAGCACAGCATACAGCCCAATAAGACCTTGCTTTCCACTTTTTATTTTGAGAATGAGATTTTTTTTATATCATTAGAATGAAAAACAAGCTGACGATCCTCTTGATAACTTTGTTACCGTCGCCTATAGGTATACATGCACAGCTACGACGTCATGTTATCAATACCGGAGGAATAATGTTATATTTCCTATCCTGTAATTTCACCACACTATCTCACTCTTCAACTAAAAGCAAATAGGTTGATAGAGGCACCCATTCATTCAAAGTCTTCACTTCATTGTAGTTATAATTTTATTTAAGTGTTTGCAAGTTCTAATTTTTGTTTTTAATTTTTGCCAGGTCCGCAGGCGTTACAGGTGCTCTTTTGGTGAATGGTCTGCCAAGAAATGAGCATCAATTTCAGAGGTATTCATGTTACATCACTCAAGAGGATTTGCTCCAACCCCTACTAACTGTTCGCGAAGCAATGGACGTTGCTGCCAAGTTGAAAATATCTAAAGGCGGAAAAGTCCATTCGGAAGAAATACTTCAGGAGCTGGGTCTGTTGGAGCATCAACATACAAAGACTGATCGATTGTCTGGTGGTCAGAAAAAGAGGTAAGCTTTTAGTATCTCTTGATGCATTATAATCATACGGAATGGATTCAGACTTTACGGTCTCGGCGATCTACCGATTACTCTGCATTATATGCATTATTCCAAATGGTTTCAAGTTCAATTGTTGCACAATATTTGTATTCATGAGTATGATGTTTTGGTATTATTACGGGGTGTTTTGTATAAGTATTACTCGTATATATGTAAATACAAAAGTATTTCCATCAGTTGCTTAGTACTAATAGTGAAAGCTTTACTTAGCTATATTATATTGTTAGGATTATTATAATTAATTACTTATTGGATACTTTTTTAATGATTCCTCATTCTTCATTTGACTGTATATTTATGTCTTAAGCGTCATATTCTCCCCCTTATTAAAATAATTACGAAACAAAAGAACAATAAATAAATGATAATTAGAAACTATCTAGTAGAGATGGGGCGATGGGTAATTTCTCCAAAATTCATAATTTACTTTATTGTTTGAATCTGTAAACAATTCAAACCTACAATCCATAGAACTTCATAGGTTAGATTTGTTTTAATAAAGTAAGGTACTATTATGCGCCTTATAGCACGGTGCAAGTGACAGGCATACAAATCAGAAAACGTAGGTCATCTACGAACGCTGACTGTGTTTAACGTAACAATTGATTGCGGGAAAATTACAATATATATGACTAATAGATTGACATTGAATACAAAAATCTAACAAATGCAGTTCTTTTATAAATAAATTTATTAAAATGTCATACGCTGTTCAGTTAGGTACACGTACAGATAGATACTGCTATCTGCCTATACTCGCGAAATATCTGGTTCAAATTATTAGTAGTTATATTTTAGGTATGTATTGGTAAATTTACTAAATCAAAAAAAAAACATTGTGAAATCTGAAAAATTATTTTTATAGTTTCATTTCCTTTTGATTGCAATAAATTCTATTAAGTATGCTTAATCGCTTAATAATTGACACCGAAATGAAATCTTGACTATAAAGTAAAAATAATATGTAAGCAACATATCATTTATATTTTACATTTAAGATTTTCTCAACAATCTACAATATTAGAACAATGTAACAATTATAACCAAGCCAAATAAAATATACATATCATTCTATAGTACAGATATAATGTAGTAATACATTCTAAGACTTTACACTGGTCTTACCACTTCACACCAGGCTGGAATTTCAAATATCTTATATGTACCTTAGAAACAATTTTTTCTTTATAAAAAATGTTAATAAGAAGACATAAAATGTAATTTTATTATTTCTATATAATGAACTAATGCGGTTAGTAATCTAGGATTTCACACTGACCTTCCACATTTTACAATGAGTTAGCATTTTATACAAAACATATTTATTTGTTTAAATAATAATTAATTAGTTTAATATAATTTGTGTCCACGTGAAATGAAATAATCGTATTTATTTATGATGAAAAAAATACATTCTATTTTTAAATGAAATGTTCTATTATATATTCTAAATTAAAAATTTAGAAAAGCAATTGTTGTACTATATAGGTAGTCTAAATATAAATTTTAGAATATGACTATAGATATAATAGAACAAATATAATAGAAATTTAAGTGACTATACTATGTAGCTTTAGTAAATTTTTGGACAGTGGACATTCTACGAACCATGGCTGAATATAATAATTTATATATGTTAGATATTATATACATCAATAATACCTATTAAATTAAGTTGTAAATTGCTAGTTACCTACTTCACCACGCATTTCAAAATACATCTCTATTCTTCCAATCAATCAAACCTAATATGTGATTTATGTGACTCGACGCCCATGCAATAGACGTTGCACTATTTAGGTTGCTATTGCTAGCCATTCATTATTATTTTAGTACCTACCTGCTTTATTGACATAATGCGGAACAAGAAGCGGCCATTCACCTAGGGCGTTGCACTCAAGGTAGTATTTATCGATTTTATAATCTCATGTGACTCATTGGATGCACTCTGTGAATTAAAATCTACTCTGTGATCCGGTGAATTTATTTGAATAAAACTGTTGAAACGAAACCTATATTGCAAATTCGTAATATACGTACTTACGTATTATTGGTGGCTTACAACTCAGACTTTAGTGGTTTATACTACTCAGTGGTTTACAAGAGTCTTCATTTTACTTCACCTCTGAATTCTTTCAAATTTAGAGACAAACAAAACATTGTGTTTCTTCAGTGAAGGAGACACAGATATTAAACTAAAAATTAGTCCGAGAGACGATGATCGGATCACATGCACTACGATATCAACCTTTTTTCTTTAATGGATGATAACGGTATACGCTGGCTGGGCACCAGAGGAGGATGATAAGATGATCATAAGGTTAGGTTAGTTAGGTTCATCATGACAAATTTATGAGGAATTTTCATTATGGTTTCCAGGGGGAACTACGTGGAGGCGACAAATTACGTGGCTAATCCTTTCGAACCAGTAATTCCCCTGTTACTTCGCTCAACAAACTAAATAAACAAACTCTTCAGCCTTATTATATTAGTATAGATACAATTTCTAAGGGTCAAATTATATAATATAACAATAACTAATATTATTGTTATAACAGTTATCTTACAGCAGTGGTTCCAAAGTGTCTGAAAGACAACATTTTATTTTATTTGTTTCAAAGAATAAGCTGTTATGGTATTTTCATCCATAATGTCGAAAGAAGAAACTAATATATTTTATGTCATATGTTTGCAATAACAAATGAAAAACGGGTATAATGGAAATATTTTTTTTTGTTAGATATGCTGTATAATTTTTTGTCTTAGAATAGAACAGTTGTTTTATTTGTTCAAAACTTGACTTCTTTGTTTAAACTTAAATTTAAGAATTTTTGAATGACTATTCTATTTTTTATACTAATGCTTATTTGGAATAATTGTGGTTATAAAAAGAAATGCGCGTTCCTCTTTTAAAAAACATTAACTTTACACTTTTAAGTTGAAATGTGTGATTACAAATTACCAACTAGCACTAATTCATTATAGTCAAAACATTAAATACTCAATAAACAGATTAAGTAACTAAATACGGCATAGAAACCAGGCGTAGTGATTAGAACAGACTAGTCCCTAGAAGCACTGGTTCAAGAGTATGACGGATGAGCCAGCTTTCACTGTGTTCGAACATGTTTTAGGGAGCAGAACATTTATTTGTTATTATTTTCCATAAAAAAATATGTCAGTATAGTTAATAAAGTAACATTTTTACTTGAAATAGAAGCAAGATTTACTGACTACGCTAGCCACCTTCTAATTGGTAAATATCTCTGATTAACTGAATTTTGCTAGATTTCTTTGCCAGAATTGGGCGAAATCACATTGCTCTAAGATATCAGCCAAATACTTTATTTGAGAAATAGTTTCGTTTTCAACCAATTGCAACAATGTTTTTTTCTTATCAACACTACAATAATAATAATAATAAGTGTACTTAATATAATTCTTGAAATTCAAAATATACAATTCTTTCATTCCTCCTCCTTCATTTCACCGAACACTTTGGGAATCAATTTACTCATTTTTATGCACAAAGTATAATAGTATTAGTGATCTACCTGCAGTAGTATTATCTCCTTTACACTAGTCACTTTTAACAACTTCAATGGAGTCTTTGCAGCAGTCAATGGAACAGATGATGGAAAACTTCAACACAAGGATGGCAGCTTTCCAGGATGGTCTTGATAAAGCCGGTGCCTCACCGGTTAGCTTGGCCTCGCTTGCATCTGATTTCTCACGCTTCAAATCCTTAATCGGTGAGACACTTCGAAACCTTCAGCAACAGGTGCGGGTTATTGCACAACAGCAGGATCGCCTTGAAATGAACAGTCGTCGCAAGATACTGTTGTTACATGGAATTTGTGAAAACAGTGACAGTAATTTAACAGTTGAAGTAACCAAGATCCTTGCTGAGAAACTTAAAATATCCATCCCAACAAACAGCATAAGCCGTACTCATCGCATGGGGCGAATAACCAGTGGAAAACCTCGCCCCATTCTGGTCAAATTTCATAGCATAGAGGATAGAAATAAAGTCTGGATGGCGAAAACTGGGCTCAAAAGTAGCGGCATCACAATATCAGAGTTTCTCACTAAAGTAAGACATGAGGCTTTCATGAATGCTCGTAAACACTTCGGCGTGTCTAAGTGCTGGTCACACAACGGGGCCGTGATGATCATTGGGGCAAATGGTCAGAAACATCGAGTGTGTTCAGTTGGTGAGGTTAACAGACTTATTAATTTGTCGCCGATTGCTACTAAAAATGTGACGATTCCAGCAGCTAACCCGCCAGCGTCAGCCCTGAAGACATCGGAAACGGCAGGCTTAACACGTTCCAAACGCTTTGTGAAGAAGTGATTTGTTTTTGTACGCTGTTCAGTGTTGTATTATTATCGGTGGCAATATTATTCGCGTTATTCTGCTACACTCGTAACTTTTCGGTGGGTAGATTCAGTAGGTAAATATGTTTTATTATTATTTTTTTTATTATAGTCTTACGTTTAAATTTAGAAATATTTTCGAGTTTACCCGTTTTAATATTACACTTTAGATATATCAATCTACTTAAATTGTATGACAGTTGCAATATGCCAGTTTGATAGATCTGACATTTGACGGAGCTGTCATTATACCAATTATCTATGGTAACTTGGGCCAAATCAGGCTTAAATATGCCAAAAGTTCTTAAAATTACTATAGCAATTGGATTTTTTTTTTCTTTTTCTTTTATATCAATAATAATAATGTTGCCACCTATTATAAATTGTTGTGTTTATTTTCATATTATCATTGATTTCTTTTTGTATTTCATTAATCTCTTACTCCTACTACTGGCGGGTAGACGCGTTGATAAATTGTTTGCTTTTCTTATTATATACATATTTAGTAGAATATAACTATTTATATTCTATATTATTTTATATATATATATATATAATTTTTTTTTTTCTTT